CCCACTGTTCTGAAAAAGTGCCTCCTTGAAACAAAAAAATTTTGATATATACACAAAGAGGCAGGAATTTTCTTCAAAACTGCCATTTCCGATTTTTGTTTCAAAGAGGCACATTTTTGAAAAACGCAAAAATTGAATAAAAATTATTCTACAAACGAAATCCAAAATGTGTACACTAAATAACACTTGAAATTTAACGTGTCCGAAATGGTCTAGTGTATATGCTGGTAGATTACCAATTCGTACAATTAACAGAGCATGGGTTCGGGTCCCAGAATGGATCATTTTTTTGCATATATTTTTTTTCTTCTTATTTTTTTATATGTAATGGTAGTGTAATGCAATTATATATTTTTTGAAAGAGAGGGAATGTCAAGAAGTTAATTAAGTAATAACTATATGTAGGGTAAAATTGTTTTCCTTTGTATGCTGTGACTTTAAACTATATTTAGTTTTGTCTTGGAAAAGAAAGTTACTGTATTGTTTAAATAATTTATTTTTTACATACTGTACTTATTGGAATTTTGAATAATTCTGGTCTCTTATTTAGTAGCTAAGATTTGATTTGAAACAAATGAAATGTCTTGGATGTAGCACCAACAGTGTGATAATGAGACGCAGTTCTATTTCACGAAAAATATTTTTGAATGATGTCTACAGTACATGTATATCTTTCAAAATGCTGCTTTAGCCATTGTGCTTTTTGTTCTTCCAACCTTTTTCGTGCAAAATAACTAGGGATGTCAAAATCGTCAATAATTGATATTCGAATATTCGATAGCAGTATTCGAATATATTCGAATATTCGATAAAATAAATTCATCCTTCATTGTACAATTTATAAATCTTCACTTTTTTGTCAAGCAATAAACGTTTTATCCCATTATTTTGGAATAAAATTTCAGTTAGAGTTTTTAATGCAGTGTAATGATATTCTGAAATATTTTACGGAATATATGAAGATTTTACATCCAAAATGTAATGATTTTTTCTGAAAATGCAATGGATTATTTACAGAAGTTCCAGATTAATTAATCGTCTTAACAAAGTAAACATTGATAACCCCTTTTGATTTAAACAACACAGATCAATTATTTAATGGAGAAAAGTTAATACTAATTAATTTTAGCTAATTAATTTCCTGATTATGATTTTAAATGACGTATATATAAACAAGGAAGTCATGTGTTTACTGTAAAAATTTGTCCTTTTAACAATACAAACTAATTAAAAGTAGTGGACTTTGTTATACCTCTAATTAAATATATGATAAAATAAATATTTTATTAATAGATACACTCTTCACACCTTTAGGGTAATCCAAGAGTAGTGTCTTTTAATTTTGTTTTAACTCATATTGCTTGTCAACAGTACGAATTTGATTCAATTTCTGAGAAAACTTGCCAATTTTTTCTATCTTTTAAGAGCTTGTGTACTTAAAATCCGAATATTCGAATCATAAATTTATATTCGAATATCAACTCATCGAATGAATATTCGAATATTCGAATATTCGTTGACATCCCTAAAAATAACTAAAGTGTTTTGCTGTTTCAGGCAGGAAATACTCGCCGTAAACATAGTCCTCTACTTAGCTGTTTCTATATTTAGACATAACGAGGGTATTTAAATGTCCTTCTCGATATGTAGGGAATAATCACGAGTTTCTGCAACACCATCTTTGTTCATGACCTAAATATAGTATCCGAATTATGCATTCACCGCGTGACTGTCCATCGATGGGACCAAACTTCATACAGTACAGAGTGGGTTATTCTATGCTATAAGTATTTAAGTTCTGTGATAATAAAACAGCTTAATTAAAATAAATTCAGTTTCCAAAAAAAACCCTTGTTTGAACATCTATTTTCCCTTGATTTCTCATAGTAGGCCTGTATGCCCTTGCACTATCCCCATTTCCTTCATTCAACTTAACAATTCTATTTTTATACAAGTCACGTGACAAAAAGCTAAACATGCGATATAACTGTGCTGTGTAGGGCCAAGTCCTGTCCATTATGGATAACTATCACGATTCTCCACAAGGGGTTTAACCATGGCGGCCCGCCATGGTTAAATCTATGTGCGTTATGCATGATTAAAATCGGCTGCCGCCATGGTTAAATTTTATTGCATTTCAGTCCTGACACCTACTTTTTAATGACTTAAGTAGTTAATTGTGTTTATACTACGACTGCCATACACCTCGCATGCCTCGAGGAAAAACCAGGTTTTGCTAAAACAAACACTGCAATATAAAGAAAAATAGAATATTTAGAAAAGGGACACTGGTCCAAATCTTCGTTTGTGTGTTAACTTAAATGAAATACTACCCAATCATCAGATTTAGTCATATTTAAACAAAACATTTCATACAACAGGCTGCAAAAAGTCTGAATAAAATTGCCATGGTTACTGTATCAAAAGTTTTTCTTTAAATTCCTTCAAAAGGTAACTACAATTTTGGGCAAATTTTGATACATTTGTGAAGTAAGCTTAATAATCTTTTTTTTTTAAATTTAAAATTATTTTCAGCTTTTGAAAGTGTTGGCTATTTCAACATTTTGGTGTTTCTGTGGTTAAAGTTTAAAAATTAAAAATCAATCTTTGATTATTGAAGGTTGGGATGACTAACACGTTTTCGTGTTTTTGGTCACATTTAACCTTCGCGCAGCTTCCTCCTTGGTTAAATTTCCAAATGTGGAGAATCCTGACTATATTACATTTTCTACGGGTATTCAGTAGCTTTGTTACAATTTTAAAAAAGAAATAATGTATATTAAAACAGTACGTGCTAAGGTCACATTTTCCATATCGGTCCTTAACATAGCCGAGAGCCATCTGTTGACCAAACTTGCATAGATGATACATCTAAGGATGCATACTACCAAACTTGCTTTGGATGCTGAATCTGACATACTTTTCCGCATGCGTAAACACGTTAATGTTTTTGTTGCAGGTTTCATTTCAAAGATATTATGAGCCCTATTATGACCAATCTTGCATGCATGGTATATCTTAGGATGCATACTACCAGACTTGCTTCGAATGCTGAAACTGACCTTTTTATCCGGTTGAGTGATCAGGTTAGTCTTTGGTGCAAGTTTCATTTAACAGATACTATTAGCCCTATAATGTCAAAACTTGCGTGGATCTTAAGAGACATACTACCAGACTTGCTTCGGATGCTGAATCTGACCTACATTTTCCAGTTAAAAAAATGTTTAAGTTTGTGATGCAGGTTTCATATCGAAGTTATTATGAGCCCTATAATTACTAAACTAGCATGGATGATACATCATAGGATGTATACAACTAGACTTGCTTTGGATCCTGAATCTGACCTACATTTCCCGGATGAGTGAATAGGTCAAAGTTTTTGGTGCAGAATTCATTTCCAAGTAACTGAGCTTTTTAATAACAAACTTGCATGGATTATACATCTAAGGGTGCATTTTACCAGGCTGGCTCGGATGCTGATTCTAACCTATATTTTCTGGATTAGTGAAAAGGTTAGTTTTTTATACAGGTTTCATTTCCAAGTAACTTTGAGAAATGTGTGAAGCAAACTTGCATGGATGATACATCTTAAAATGCACACTAATGGACTTCAGATGCTGAATTCGACATACATTTTTCAGATAATGGACCTGACTGGTAAAAGTTATGGGTGCAGGTCTATTACCAATTAACAATAGCGCTCATATAAACCAAACTGATGTATCAAGAAATAAAACTCTCAAACTTGCTTCAGATGCTGGGTTTTAATTATGTTTTCATGATGATGAAGTAGTTTGAAGTTTTTATAAAGGTCTATTCCATAGTATCAAATCAAAATTGCATAATTTTTTTCATTTTCGGATGAACACATTTTGTTGGCTAATTGTGTGACTTTGTCTTACTTAAAGACAACATTCGTTGAGGTAAGCTCTATAATCTATGACTACCTATATTTTAAGATTGTGTCAAAAACTAAAGAACATTTTTTTTATATTTCACATAGGTTGCGACACACCTTTTTCCGGAGATTTATAAATTTGACAAGTTTATGAGTTTCAGGTCTTTCTAGTTATAAACCGAAAAGATTTTTTTCATATTTGGCTAAAGCATCTTAATTAAAGGTCAGAGCGACTTAGCTACTTTTAGTGCGTGCCATACATTCTAACCAAAATGTATCAACTGACAGGATTGAGAATTGGAGACCTAAATGTATCAAAGATATGACCCATGCAGACATTAAAAGGCTAACAGACGAACGGACGGACATAGAGACTATAACATAATACACCCGTCTTAAGACAGGCGTATAAAAAATCCCGAAAAACAAAAACGTTAACACGCATACATGCATAAAGAATGAAGACGTCTGCAATGAATGATTACCTATGTATAGTGTTTATAGAATAAAGTTAAATTTATAATAAAAATATTCTAACTTCAACATAATATCATGGATACTTTGGGCACCTTTAATTTATTACATGTAGTTATGAACATTTCTTATATTATCCTCAGGGAATAATAACTAGATTGATTGATTGATTGTATATTGTTTAACGTCCCTCTTGAGAATTTTTCACTCATATGGAGACGTCACCGTATGCCGGTGAAGGGCTTCAAATTTAGACCTATGCTCGGCACTCAGGGCCATTGAGCAGTGAGGGTTCTTTATCGTGCCAGCGCCTACCGTGACACGGGACCTACGTTTTTAAGGTCATATCCGAAAGACCCGTGACTTTCACTTCTGATGCCGAGCGCTTGGCGAAGGAACAGTCGCTACCTATTTTTACGTCTTAGGTTTGACGCGGCGCCGGGAACGAGAATCGAACCCGGGCCTCCCGATCACGAAGCGAACGCTCTACCACTAGGCTACCGTGAACGGTAAATAATAACTAGATTATGCACACATAATGAAAATAATTCATTAAATGGCGTGTCATAGTTAGGCAAAGTACTACATGTACATTTGATGAAGACAAAATTTACTGTTTTTCTTTCAGGCAATTAATTCATGTGAGAAATCTATTCCTACTCTCGCCTACGTAAAAGAATGTCCAAAAACGGAGGAAGAATGGTTTGCTGCAGCTAAACGAAAACAATGTGATGTTGTAGAGCAGAGTTGTTCTACTGCAGACAATTTTCAATACCACTGCGTAATCAACCCTTATGCTAATGCCACAGTCGAAGTATGTGCTCCTGTCCGGAATATCATCGGTATGTGGCTGTAGATAGATAGAAATATGTATTTGATGCATATTCGTGTACGTTTTTTTAAATGCATTAATGCATGCACAAAATCTACTGAGTAATGGACTGCTTATTCATAGTTTTTTTTTTGCAAGATCTTCTTCATTATTTTCAAGTATACTTTGCATAAGGATTGTCAAAAGGTATGTGTTATTTTTTTCTCACACAGGACACTGTGCAGAATACAATTACGGGAGAAAAAGCATTCAAGATCACCAAAACTTTAAATGTAAGACCTGTCCTTTGACGTACCGATCAACAGATGCATATAAATGTAATTCATAAGTTGAAACCAGTATAATGTCAAATCAGTTACATTTTTCTTACAAAAAAAACTTTCCTTATTTCATTTGATTGAACAGGTCTCAATTCACAAGTACGGATTGTTAGATTTTTAATATCTTTCACGTTAGCGATATGAGAAACAAATTCATGTTAAACAGGTATCTTGATTTTTTTTTTGGCTTCTTCATAAATGCGTCCAATGTTTCCCATGTGTTTGTAGAGAAATTGCCACATAGTATAGGTAAGATTTTTTTTATTTATTACAGGAGTGTCATATTTTTCAAATGAAATATTTTTGAACAGATCAAGAATGTTATGATATTGTGACGAAACAAAGTGAAGAGATTTTTAATTCAACGACAGAGAGGTAAGCTATCTTTGATTCTTTTAAAAAGATATATAAGATTATTCATTGAATAGATATATATCTGAATAGCGATTTCTCTGCTGGCATATTACTTGTTTTGGCAATGGAGCAATAGTTATTGATAATGTCAAGTTCGTATCACTAAAATATGTTATTTATATCTTGTACCGTGAAGCTGGTCTAATCCTTATATTGTGTATTCAAAAATCTTGTCAAATAGGATATATTTACATTTGAAAATATTTCTCTTAGATAAACAATTGAAGAGAAGATATATTCAATTCTGTATGAACTTTTTTGGGGGGTCATAGGTCAGAGCGTGACAGAATCACATGGCGAGATGATATTTTGCCGAAATATTTATGTCATGGTGCAAGTAGATTTGAAATATTTCTAAATTATTAGCTACAAAAAAGAAAACATGATTGAAACACAAATGCCATTCTTTATTGGATAATCTTCAATCAAGAGATTCTTGCGATGCAAATTTGTTTTGAATACTATAAATAGCCTAAAACCGCACTAATCTTTTAAAACCCGAAATTCCGTTAGAGTTATGTAATAAAATTAAAATTAGCGATACCACCGCTTTTGACTTCAAATATATGTAAGGAACTCATGCAATAAGACATTTAAGATTATTTTTAGAAGCGATCATTGTTCTTTCATTATAAACAGAGATCTCCTAGTCTGGACTGCTGACGATTAATGTAAACATTCAAATGTCGGAGCGAGACAAACATTCAAGACCAAACAACATTTCGGTCATTGCACTTCACCACATAGCAATACGACGGCCGGTTAGTTTAATTAATGCAGTTTTACTCGTCTCAAATGTAAATATAAGCAATAAACAACACAGCTGTTAAAAAGTTCACTGGCAAATGAAATTAGCTGGTACTTGAACTAATCTACTGAAAAGCACTTCAGGCTTTACAGGATTTGAACACGTGACCAACTAAGTTCATATCCCAGAGAACAATTTAACATTGTGGGTTTTTCTTAAATAAACTTATAATCACTTTCAATGATCTTAGGTCTAATAAATGTTTTGTAATCCGAGATGTTGTTTAATCCAGCCAAATAATTTAGAACCCGTTGTGGCTGCATTAGGATATTTTAATTTTATTTGTATTCCTTGATATTGTTAAAAAAAGACAGTCAATATAGGTTAAATTTGATTTGTCTTTATTAACCGTTTACAATGGGCGAGACGTGGTAGGGATGAGGTTTCAGGCTAAAAGTATAATGGGAGCTTTATCAACATACAAGAATATGAATTTACATAAATGTATTATTAGTGTCCCCTGTTGAAAGTGGGTGGGGTATTCATTTAGTTTTTTCTGAAGACCCATCTTTCTGTATCTCTGAAGTTCTGTCTGTCTTTTCCAACTTTAGTTTTTACACATTATCTCGCAAAGCCTTAAAAGTTTTGCAATGACATTTTACACAATAACCCCCACTGGATTAGGTTAAATCCTTTTAGATTTTGAGGTCAAAAGTCAAGGTCACAAATTTAAAAAATGCCTGTTTTCATTTCTTGCGATATCTCGAGAAGTTTTTGAGATTTTGCAATGGTATTTAAGGTAGGACACAATAGATAGGCCAAATTTTTCCGCAAATTCAATTTGTCTGAAACTTAGATTTTTTGTTCTAGGATACAAAATCTCTCTTTAGGTATGATATGAAAGAAATTCAACCGCACATTTTTTGCCCACATAGTTTGATATATGGCCTATCAGATCCCCGTACGAAGATTGTGAAATCAGACATTAGACTTGAGAATGAGCCTTTTTTTAGAATTATCAATTAGTCTTTTGCAAATTTGTGTAATACTTTTAATAAAGATATACTTTTTGTTGCTTTAAGCTAGTAAGTCAACTTGATACTGGAAAATTTAAGTAAAATATTAAGTAATAAAAGAACATATGTAGCGTCGGAATTGAAAATTCATATGTAAATATCACACAGTTTAAGTTTTCTAAAGAGAAAATGTATCATTCAATTTTTACGAAAAATCAACAGAATTATCAAAATGGGTCCTAGAATGAAATGTGTAAAAATTAAGAAAATTAAACCGGCGGTTTTAGATATTTTTGTGATCAAAAAAATTTCAATGGCAAAAAAACTAAAAGATTCAGTAGATGACGTCAGAATATTTGACCTTTGACCTCTTGATATGATCTTGACCTTTGTAGTACATAAAGAATGGAGACTCCTTATATACGTGTCCAAATATCATTCCTCTACTTTGCATGGATAAAAAGTTACACGACATTTAATAACAGACTGTCACATGCTTTTTTTATTACACTTAGTTACAGTCCCTGAAATGTTCTACTTTCACATTTTTTCTTTCGCTCACCATTTGTTCAACGTTCGTTCAGCGTGCGTTCACCGTTCGCTCTTCATTCACAGTATTGCGTTCACTGTTCACCGTGCACTCGCGTTCACCGTTCACAAAACGTTCAACGTTCGCTCTTCGTTCCGTTCACTTTGCGTTCACCTTGCGTTCAGCGTCCACCAGTTTTCATTGTCATTCGGAACTCCGAAGTGGAAGGATTTATCTTTTTGATGGTAAGGATTTACACGTTTTTAATTAAATAACTTTGATATCGTGTTTGAAGAATAATTATTTCATTGCAAAAATTATCTATGATATTTATATTTCTATTATTCATAACTCAGCTGTTACTTTTTTCATGAAATTTCCCTGGAAAATAACACATTAAGTACCTACACGTATGTAGAGCGATGCTCATATATTAAACTAAAAAAGGGGCAATGTACAATTAAATGCTTCATGCACGGCATCAATTTGTTGTAATTTTAAAGAGGACAAATTATTAATGGATGTACATGTATGATAATTAATCCAAGTCTTTTACAGGACAAGAATGCATAAAAAATATTTCTACAGTAATACGTATTTTAAACTACACGAAGGTTTGAGAATTATGACCAGTACTGCAAATATTCAGTTAATTAAATATCTCTAGAGCTAGTTAAATTGATAGTGTGGTTTTGAATTTTTGAAAAGACCAACTGTTTAAAGTAGTCTATTATTAGAGCAGGAAAATCCCTTCCTTCACTGTACCTAAACATATGTTTAAATATATGTTTGCCATTAAGTATAATTTAGACCCCCCTCCCCCCGGTGCCTTTTCTCTCGAAATAAAATTCTTAGAGTTTTTCAGTATATTTAAAAAAAATTTAATGTGTATTGTAACACAAGAAAACCAGTCTTAAGACCAACATCAAAAAGTCATCAAACAAATTTATAGTATTTTAGAATAAACTTTTGCAGACAGTAATATTTTAAATTGGCAGGGAATATGTTTCGAATTCAATTTAAAACTTAATCCTTCCACGTATATTTTCCCATTATTTATTTATTTTTTTTTTCTGTAGGAATGCAAAAATCAGAAATGATAGGGAAAATTTAAAAATAAAATACTAAGTGACCCTTTGCCTTCGGCATGTTCGGTGAAACGCGATTTCCAAACCTCCACTGTGTCGAATTATTTTGATTCACAGGACAAACACGCTACTAACACGAACTTCCTGTGAACTGTGTGAACTTGATGATAGAAAATAAAAGCCAATGATTTCTGTCAAATGGATTTTTAAATATAAAAAAAGATTATTTTTACTGCTTGGAATATTTAGGAAAAATAATAAGAATTTTTATTTGATACTACAGATACCTGAGAAGCGAGGGGTTTATCTCTCTCTCTCTCTCTCTCTCTCTCTCTCTCTCTCTCTCTCTCTCTCTCTCTCTCTCTCTCTCGTACATTTCTCTGTTTAATAAAAACTATGACAGCACATTACTTATTTAGTTTTGAAAATTTAATCTATTACAAATAAATTGAATGCCTCTTTCCAAAATCTTGACCGAGTATAATCACGATCGAGGAATGTCTACAGATACATGAAGAAGTTAGCTAAAATAATCGTCATAAAAGAATACAAAAGGCACATAAATATGGAATATTTTTCATTAGCATTTAAATAAAACGAGAGTACGATAACAGTCAACGTCAACAGATAATTGCGAATTTAAAAAAATCCGTTATTTTACCCTGAATTGCCTTGGCACGGAAATACATGTTTGGTTGTTTCAACCGCGTACAATGTAATTAATTCATTCTATCAGTAGTAGTTTTATCTTCAGAAGTCCACATTATTTTATTAGTGAAAAGAATAAGCATATTTACTATATAAATAGATTAATTTTATATTTAATCTACACGCGTTTGGAAACTAACACGTTTTACGGCAATTAAAATCGTGTTATAAAAATATCGATTTAAAACATAGGTACATATATGTACAGAACAAAATTTTTTTAAAGTACTTATTTATTTATTCATTCATTTATTGTTAATTTATATTTAAGAGCCTGAAATTAGAATTATAGAATGATAGAATAAACTCAATGCAAGGAAAAGATCGGAGGCATTCTGAATAAATCGTTCATCTCGCGTGCGCGCTCCGTTCGCGTTCTGCGTTCACTCACCGTTCACCGTTCACACATCGTTCACCAAGTTGCGTTCAGCCTTCGCACATCGTTCACCCACCGTTCGCTATGCGTTCGTTCACCGTTCGTTCAGCGTTCGTTCACCGTTCTGGTGGGAAAGTAGAATGTTACAGGGACTGTAGCATAAAAAACATTCCAAAATGTAAACCCTCAAGTGACTAATATATACTTTAGGATTTTCTGATATTTTCACAAAATATGAGTCAAACATGCCAAAAACATATTATTTTTCTTACAGGGATCATTCATTGTTGTCAATATAATAATATTTTTTTTCCAGTACTTTTTAAGACATAGGTTAAAATAGAATCAACGGGTGTTTTGTCCTACCTTAAATAACTTTATACCACAATTCCCTGTAGCCAAAGACCTCCATTCATTTTGAGGTAAAAAGGTAAAGGTCTTAAATTCATACTTTCTGTGAATATATTCTGTGCAAAACTTTCCTTCCAGGCGAAAT